ATGTCTGAATTGGTCCTGGGCCTCCCCTTGGTCAACTCAGCCTGATATTAGTATCTGGTGAAATGTTTGAATGTGAGCGTTGGGGAAACAAAGACGGCCGAGCACCCTCTTGTTAATAGGTGCTCTCTAACAACACTCGCCCTAATAGTCTGTAACGGTCTTTGTATATTTGAAGCATGAGTGCATTACCATACACTATGGTCCTGATAACCTGGGTTCAATTCCTGGTCATGGATAACCATGAGATGCAAGCAGTATCTGAACATTTCCTTTATGGTTGCAATGATTAATTCTCATTTGTTGAGTGTCCACGATTCAGGTTTTTGATTTGATTTTTATTTGATTATGTTTTCCACATTACAATAAATTTTAGTGCCTCTAGTTCAGGGGTCGGCAACCAAAATAACAAGAAGAGCCATTTCTTTCCAATTCGGTACAAAATTCAGTATTTCAAGAGCCGCAATGCATCTGAGTACATACTGTACATACGTACATATCGTCAAGAAGCAGCCCGTAAAGAGCCGCATGCGGCTCCGGAGCCGTAGGTTGCCAACCCCTGCCCTAGTTGCTACGGAAGTGATGTTAACCAATTACTTACAGCATATAGGAATAAAAACACCGATTCTTCTACGCGTATTCAATATGTCTCACAAGCTTAAGAATGGATGTTATCCTATGAATCAATACAAGAGTTCTTCACTACTATCCAGGTACTCCCCAACGACATTTACATGTGCAGCCCTTTGTACTGGATGTGGTTTTCCCCATGTTGTATTGGTCATGGGGGTTGTCGGAGCATACTTCACCACACTTATCACTGCTGATTAGTGAAGACGGGGAGCATTGACATGGGAGCATAAAAGTACAAAACAGTGGATTTTGCTGCACTTCTCTGTGCTGCCCTCCAAATAGCAGCTTGGTAAACGGAGCCTTAAATGAGTAACTGTGTAAGCATCAGCACTAGAGAGACAAGGTGTTTAGATGGGTTTATATGAGGATAGCAGAGTGTAAGCGTACGTGTCTGTGAAGGATTTCCATCTTCCTGTAACCCATCCCAGAGCTTTATTTTTGTCCGTGTAAACTGTAGGCATACCACATCAGCACCTGGGACATGTTGGGTTTTGGAATGCCATTCCGATCACGACATCGCGACCGACCGCCGTTATTTACGTGCGCTGTGAAGTGTATCTGGAGCTTGACGGCGGGGGCGCATGTTGCGTCTTGTCTCTTTTTATGTTACGTTTGGAGGGTGAGCTCATAGCTTGGTCGAGTTCCAGTGCCGTGAATTGAGCTGTGTAGACGTGGTCTCTTTTTTCTCTTGTGTGCGTGTGCGGTTTTTTTATTGCACTGGGTGTGGTTAACCCCGGAATTGAAAGAGAATACTGTAATGTCCTTTACTCACCCGGAAAAATCCTCACCGAGCCTCCAGACTTCTTTTTTACGCAGGAGAGTCCTGCTGGGTTGATATGGTTGGCCATTTTTATTAATGAGAGTTTGTGGCTTTTGATTGGAAACAGAATCCGTTTTTTAAAAAAATATATTCTCATTACTCAAGTAATGAGAGGATATTTTCACATGGGAGGGGTTGACACTCGGCTTAACAAGGTGATCATCTCCTGGCCACATTGCAGCCCACACCTATAACATCTGATTTGCAATCGTGCTCTGCCATCGAAGAACTAACCAGGAGCCCCCCACCCCTCTTTCTCTTTACTTTTGTTTCTCTTCCCTTGCCTTCCCTTCCCCGTATAAAACTCTACCCATGTTCCCCGCTGCTCGCAGTCGCTGCGTGAGTGGGGCAGTGCGCCCCGACCTTCTCCCCTTCCCAGAACCCAGGAACACTGAGTTTGGACTTCGGTCCACGGAGTTTTTGTACAACCCCTCCCCCTCCCTTGTTGCGGTTCGTGCCTTTTACCGAGATCTGACAAGATCGGGCACATTCAGGGTGATTTGGAAATAGGCGATAATAGACTGAGTGCATTGGCATAGACGTGACAAAGTTGAAAAACACAGCAGTGCGGTCAGTGCATGTCAATCCATGCATACATTTTTCACTGCTTTCTCACAACCTTTTGACCCCCTGCTCTTGGGAGATTTTGTTATATGGTTCCTGACTTATAATGAATGCCAAGGAGTGTGGTACCATGGTTTGTTTGTGTACATGTACAGCTTTCTTGCTTGGCAATCCACTGCTGGATGAGGGGCTCCCTACCCTGTGCGGTAAATTAAGCTAAAGTGTAGATGATACACTTTGCAAAGAGTCGAATAATAAATAGATCAAATGTGTGAATGAGTAGGGTGTTATGTTTGGTATGCATTGGTCAGGAGATTGATCGGTTGGAAACTTGTTACATGAATTGTCTTTGTTGCTGGGTGGCTCTTAAATGTTAAACGCCAATGTTGGGCGCACTGCGCCAGCAAACCTGGGGTCTGGGTTTAAGCCCCAGGTCACCACTCTGGACAAACAGGTTCTCTCGTGATATTGTTGCTTTGATGGTTTCAGACCAGCAGGATTCTGATGAGAAAGTTGTTGCGTAAAGAAAGGACATGGACAGATGCGATCGAATGCCCACAGCTTCGAGAATCAAATGTACAGCTGTAAGACAAATGCGCAGCTAAGAGATGCACACGCGCAGATAAAAAAAATAAACGTCCGACACGGGCACATGCGCAATATAGAATCTCACTGGACAGACAATGGAGATGGAATTGTAATGTCTCATTCAGTAGTTGTTCACCTCTGGGTGCAATAGTTCTGCTGTCAGGTAATTTAATGTGTTTTTGAGTGCACAATGTTTTAATAGGCATTGATTCTTAAGTAATCTCGTACGCACATCAGAAGGTTTCTGTACATTAACATGATTAAATAAAACCATGTTATGATTTTCCAAGAACATATTTAAACGCGCGTGCATGATTTAGGTTACTGTAAACATTTCCTTGAGTGTACACTTGGAAATGTAATATTATCTGGTAAAGACATTTGAGATTGAGTGATGTTAATTTTACTTTCTTTTTAGATGGGCTACAAAACCTGACATTTGGCACTTATAAAATACTAGCTTTACTACCCGGCTTTGTCCGGGACTTGGATTCTTGGATTCTTGTCTTGGATTAACACACGGCCTACGCGGAGGGTGGGGGGGGGTGCGTGACGTCAGCAGGCACACTGCGTGACGCTGCCGCATGCGTGTGACATCACAGATGTGACGTCACCACTCACTTGCCGTGCAAAATATATCCATAATTGCGCCCCCCCCCCCCCCCCCAAATACAAAGGTCTATTTTTTATACTTTTTGCATTGTGTACAGTCTGGAAGCTACCCACATACCAAATTTAAAGTTTGTTGCATGTTGGGAAGTACGCTAAACATTTTAGACAGACGCACATATTCACAAATTTCCCTTTTTTATATATATATAGACTAGCGGGAAGTACCCGGCATTGCCCAGGCGAAAAAGACACACACATCGACTTGGACACACACACAGACATCGACCCACACACACATCGACCTACACGCAAACACATATGGACTCAAACACATACATCGATTATAACGAGAAAAAAACGAAAAACCCAGTGTTATCATTTGTTTCCCCAAACATTTTCACCTATCTTTGTAAACCCAGACTTATCGCATTTTTTTCTATGAACATTTTTAATGGCACTGAATCCAAACACAAAATCATATCGTCGATGATTATTTTTTACAGATAATTTTGAAAGAGTGATGCCAAAGGCAACAAAAAGCAGACGGAACCAGCTATAGGTGGCTAGTAATTTTATTGGCATGACCCTGAAAATATCACGCGAATGATAATGTTCATGGTAAACGATGTGCTCACGTAATTTACAGTCTGCAAGGTGGCACTGTCGTTGGCGCTGGCAACTCGCAATTGGAAGTGTGCCAGTTCAATTCCCGGTCAGCTGTCAACTCACCCTTTTATTTTTCCAGTCAATTTAAGACAATTTACATTTCTTGCTAATTAGGCATGTGATGATTCGCCCCAAGCAATAATCCAATCCAAATTACACTTTGGTTTTCAGTACGTTCCCGTTTCTATTGACTGTCTCTTGCGCTCTGTACCGCGTGTCTCCTTCGTTTCATCATCAGCAGCAGCATCAGCCATTGTCTATTCGCTTTAGGATGAATACTTCCACATGGTTATCACCATTCGCCATGATTTCTCATGTAAAATACATCCTTATGTAATTCAATACACGTACGTTGAACTTTCTTCACACCGCACGTAGCCAACCGTGCTCATCGGAAAATCATTTCGTGCCTCGGATGGACATGCCCTTTGTAAGGGAATGTAGAATTTCTCCCCACAAGTGCATGGTCACCTGTGGAGATTAGCACCTACCCATGCTTCTTTGAGGAGGAAATTATTCCAAATGTGTATCGTGCGGAGTGGACAGGACGCACGAAAAGTTAAATAATAATCATTTGCATCCCTTTGTTAGTCCACTGATGGGTGAAGGTCTCTCCACACTGTGGTCACTGGGGTTGTAGGACCTTGCTTGACCACGCTGGTCATTGCCTGTTGATAACAGGAAAGCCCAGGACTGGTTCAAATGTCACCCGCCACTGATGTTACCCGTTGCCGGGAGTAGAATCTATTTTTGGCAAGGTAACATCGCGGCGCACTCGCCACTTAACAATACCTCGCTGCGCTGCTCAATGTGAAGTGAAGGTGGGAAACATTGTACAATGCAACAATGGATTTTGCTGTTCTGCCTCTGCTGGCAACTGCCCTCTGCAGCAGCCTACGACACCTGTCTTATGCATGGTGGTCACACATATAAGCACTGTCCAGGCTCGGAATCAAAATATGAATTTATACTGAGAAATCCGATGAGCTATGAAGCTCTTTCTCACGGATGTCATACCTGCTTAGCTTCCGAGATCTTTATATCATCATCGTAATCACATTTTTATTATTATTATTAACGTGCCGTGGCTGGTGCACTGTGCGTGGTGGCGGGTGCACAGTTGTGCGCGATTTCCAGAGCTACACGGAGCCGGGCGAGGATGGCTCTTTGGCATCGCCGCGCCGCACACACGCCACCGCCACGGCCATCGGCGAGGGCGACGAGGAGTCGGAGCCGCTGCCCCTGGGAGAGAACACGCTCACCCACAACCTGGGCATCCCCGTCGTGGTCGTGTGCACCAAGGTGTGTGGATTCGTGTCGTATTTTGTTCGTTTCTTCATTCTAGATCTGAAGTTTTCGTGACTGCAATGATTCATACTCTTTGGTTCTTTCGGTGAAGTCACGTAGGTGACTTGATGATGGACGCTTGCGTTGCTTCCGAAACGTCGTGGTTTACTTAATTTAATTATTTTTATTTTTCATCTACGTGACTTTGCCGAAAGAACCAAAGAGCCTTGCAGTCACGAAAACTTCAAATCTAGAATTAACCAAAGAGTACGTTTCTTCATTGCTTTCCAAACTAAGATTCTTTTGTGTTTAGTTTGTTGTCCTTTGCGCGCACCTCCGTTAAGCACGGTTGGCTACGTACGGTGCGAACGAAGTGCAACATACGTACATAACATACATGCAAAGCGTTTATGCCCCCTGTCTGTCGCTCCGTCTGTCTGTAATACGGGGTGATGACCATCGTAAACAAGATCCAATGTGAACATAACGTAAGATTAAAGTATTGTTGCTTGCAGGAACATCTGCTGTATTGAAAATTGGCTGCCCAAAATATCGTGACAAAAAACCAGTGCTAAAACGCCCAGCGCTGGCGTCCCCTGCTGCCTTCTTCCCGGACAGAGCCACTGTCCCAGCCTGCGATCTCATCAAGGCCTTCGAGCACTGCCGTTATTTTTCTATTTAAAGCTTTCGTGACTGCAGGGATTCATATACTTGGTTCTTTCGGTAAAGTCACGGAGAAGGGAAATAACAAAAAACTTATAAAAATAAAACAAGAAAATTCCCTTCTATGTGACTTTACCGAAAGAACCAAACTATACTATCATTATATCAAGAGCAACATTTTTCCAAGGACGACGCTTTCCAGAAAACATGCAAATGCATGTTTTTTTTGTTGTTTAGCATTTAGTTTGCTTTTTTTTATCCCCTTCAATGCTTTGTGTACTTTTTCCCCTGATTTTATCCTAATTGTGCTATCGGTGTCACGACAAGATATGAAGGACCCATTCGGAACTCTTCCAGAGCAGTGCAACTTCTACGTGTTAGAGAATGGCCCTCAGAAGTGGATATCACAGAGCTACCGCTTGAGATCCCTTCAAGTGGTGACCTTTGTTCAACACAGTAAGGGGCAGCGCTTTTCCACCTGCTCTACATACGAGTGTAATCTTTTTCACGTGAGAGTTGACCTTATATTTTTGATTCTTTCTGCTGGAATTTAGTTGCATTAAATGTAGAGTTGAATTAAATGTGGTGGATTTTTTTGTGTACTCTGTGGTGACTGGACTGAGACCATCAACTTTAAAATGCTTGAGAATATAACTAAGTATGGAGTGGCTTCAGATGGCCTCTTTATCTGCACTAGGTGCACACCTTTCATATCCCCTGAAGTAAATCAGTCGATCAAATTGATTTTTTTATTCCGAATGCTGAAATAAGCCAAATTAACATAGCACATTTGATTAGATGGGTATTTGTCCACATTGGTTATCAGGCTGGCACTGTCAACATGCTACAATTACAAATTTGGACTAAACCCAGGTGGCTGGTGGCTGCATAGATTCCAACCTTATGTGTCAATTTGTTTGGTAAAATGTCATGTCCGTATGTGGCTGACTAGTGCAGTTATGATTAGGGCTTGTGCTCCGGTCTAGTTAGCTTAGCGCGATGGGTGACTACCATACAACAGGTTGTCATAGGGCTGCAGCACTATATTGAGAGCAGAGGGCAGGGTAGCAGAATCCATTGCTGTGCTATACTATACTCCCAACATCTATGCTCCCCGCCTTCACCAACCTGCACTGACCAGCGTGGTGAAGTATGGTGTCAAATATGGTATGGTGTCAAATATGGTATTGTGTCAAATAACCAGTATGGGGAGGCCCTCATTCAGCAGTGAATTGACAAGTGCTGTGTACATTCATGATGGATTTATTTTTGTCTGGGGAGGAGACAAACACTCAGAAGAAACAACGGCTATTTCCTCCACTGCAGAGTTTGTTACCAAAAGACGTAATGCGATGATGTTAAAAAAATGCAAACGTTTTGCAGCTCTGTGTGATGATATTTCTTGTTTTGTCGTTGGCGCAGAGCGACGCGGTGAGCTCGCTGGAGAAGGAGTACGACTACAGGGAAGAGCACTTTGACTTCATGCAGTCGCACATCCGCAGGTTCTGCCTGAGGTGTATCCTTCAGTCCCACCTGCGAATCTCACTCACCCGGCCAACCCAGCGCGCCAACAAAGTGACCGACCCCCCACAAAGCTCTGTTTGGAGCCACGTGTATATATATATTTGCCGCGATGTAATATTTCATTTTAATTTTAATCGTAGATTTGAAGTTTTCGTGACTGCAAGGATTCAGACTGAAGAAGGACGCTTGTGTTGCGCCCGAAATGTCGCGATAAAAGCTATTTATTTATTTATTTTACTGCGTGACTTTACCGAAAAAACCAAAGAGTATACATTTTAATCGGACTGTGTTTGAACAATGATTCCATGAGTGATGTGTGATGGTGGTGCAGTGGTTAGCATATTGTGCTGTGATTCTTCAATGTCCCGAGTTCAATTTCCGGGCCATGCCCGGCACCAGTGGCAAGCGTTCATCCGAACGGGGACTTGGCCCCTCCTTCCACCAACTTGCACTTACCAGCGTTGCCAAGTCACCCGTCCTGTTGGTCTTATGGCGACAGATGGGACATATTAAGAGATGTTAACTACCTCGCCTGGTATACAGGAGGTTGTGGATTCGATTCTGATCCTGGAGTTTACGTGTCTCTTTCCCTGTGGTCATGTGGATTTTTCTCTGGGTCCTCCGGTTTTTCCCTCCACATTTAGAAAACGTGTTTTTAAATCCTTTATATTAAGTTCACTTGCTTGCTTGCGCGCTTACGACCGTGCAAATCTTTCAGTCGTTTTTTAACCCACTTCCTGTGATCCAATCGAGTTGACATTTTGCACACAGACTCGTTGTGCGTGACAATTTATTTTCGTTAAATTTTTTTTTCTAAATTTTACACTTTATAGGAAAAAATAAATTCTATTTAATTACCAATTGCTTAATGGTGGCAGGCAATCATCTGACCCATAGGTGGCAGCCATCTCAAGCCAGAGGACGAGAGGACTCTAGCCGCCACGCATATAAAGGATTTAAAAACTTTGTTTTTAAATCCTTTATATTAAGTTCGCTTGCTTGCGCGCTTACGACCGTACAAATCTTTCGGGCGTTTTTTAACCCACTTCCCATGATCCAATCGAGCTGACATTTTGCACACAGACTTGTTGTGCGTGACAATTTATTTTCGTTAAATTTTTTTCCATAACTTTACACTTTTTAGGGAAAAAAATATATTTAATTACCAATTGCTTAATGGTGGCAGGCAATCATCTGACCCATAGGTGGCAGCCAGAGGACGAGAGGACTCTAGCCGCCACGCATATAAAGGATTTATAGTGAAAAACTTTGTTTTTACGGGTTAATTTTATTTAGTATTTGGCTGCTATACATTTCCACACGATAAGCAACTTCGTTGAGATATCATTTGTGGCCAGGTCACTTCTAAAAATAGCTATATGGCTCAATGGGTAAAATAAACAAATTTTGCTTTTAGTTTCATATCGGTGGTAAATTTAGGCGTAGTTTATGATGCATGCAAATTCTTATCTTGAACCCAATTACATATTATTTCATCATTTTGAGAGGTCTGGTAGTAAGAATAATAATCATGTTGTTGTCTGGCAACGTCCTGCCATTTGTTTCGACCATACCTCCTCTTTAAAGACTAGATCCGTCCATTAAATGCTTTGCCTTCTAAATAATGCATTGCATTTTTATTCCATTGGGTAAGGGTCTGCACATCTGTAAAATGAGGGATGGTAATGGGGAATTAATGGTGATTGCAAGCTGTGCCCCTATGATCCTATCATTATTGTAACTTGATACGGTATATTGTGCAGTGACATGAAACAGAGGAGAGCAGTCACTGGAGATTCGAGCGATGAGATCAGTTCATAGGAGTGAGATGGGGACGGAAGCAGCACTGGACCTTGAGTGATGGCAACGGCAGTAGCGGAGTGACGCTGTCAGCCGATGCTGCAGACGACAATGATGAAATTAAACAATGCTTGTGCGTCATCGTAAATTGAGAGTGACAAGTCAGGGGGAGGGGTCGGGTTGTTGGGACGTGACGGCGTTGGGTTTCCTTAACGTGAACCAGACGGCGCTGCTCTGATTTACACATCGCTCAAGGAGGACAAGAACGTGGATCTGCTCTACAGATACCTGTTGCACAGGCTCTACGACTTCCCCTTCCGCACCACCGCCCATGTGGTTGAAAAGGACTCGGTCTTCATGTGAGTCGTTCGTTTTGTTTTTTCCCCCGTTGCAGTGGAAAGCAAGCAATGCCCGGGAGGTCAGTGCAGCTTTACACAGGAGTAAGATCACAGCTAACATTAGGCTGTGAATCGGCATGTCCAAAATGCTTTTCTCAAGTGCGCTGCAGAGATTTGCACCGCAGGAAACTGTACGTGAGCTAATGCTGTTTTCATTGTGCTTGGTATACTTTTTTTCTTTTTATCCTGATGCATTTATTGGATAAATCCTTGCAATGGAAACATCACTGTGCGCATTGCAAGGCAGACCTGGAAAAAACAATTAGAACACTTGGAGAATATATTAGGATTTCGTATATATCATCAATTCACCCTTTCCTGTGTACCATCAATGCATTAATAGGCATGTAAAATACTCCACATCATTCAATGTATTTACACGATTAGGTTAATTAATCTATTATTTTGTCTCAATTGTATTGACTCTTCCATTTATTCTGGTTTTCTTCATTTGCCTAAATGCAGAAATTATTATTTTAATGAATCGTTTACAAAGAATTCTCACAAACATAATGCATGGCACCAATCGGTGAGCCTAGGAATCCATCTTAATCGACAAATCATCACATGCCCGAGAATTTTATCAGAACAAATCAGAATCTTTATTCATCTCAGAGAAATCCAATGAGTTATGAAGCTCTTTTCTTACAGATTTCCAATAGGGGCGGGGCGGGTCGGAAAGTTACACTGACAAACAGTACAAACATACGATAGAGGAGTGCAAAGTACCGGAGCGGTAAGTAAATAACTAAAAATGAATACATTTAATTTGTGCACGGCGACAGCGCAGCGACGGGTAGTGTTGGGCGTTAATAGTGTGCTGCCCTCCTCGCCCCCACAGCCCGGCGGGATGGGACAACGAAAAGAAGATCGCCATCCTACACGAGCACTTCCAGACGGTGCGACCAGAAGATTGCTACGAGGAAATCATCGTCAAGCCGCCCGTGCGCAAGGCAAGCAATCGCTGGGAGCCGTTGAGACGGCAAAAGATGCACGCCGTCACAGCCTCAACGGCTGAGATGTGGCGCAGATTTTAATCTTCAGTGTTGCCAGGTGGCCGAGTCGCTCAGAGGTCTCATCCAGACAGCTCCCTGTGATTGAATCTGGTTCTCAGTCGTAGTGAGTTGCTGGTCTCAGCCCTGTCCCCAAATACTGCAAACAAAAAATACCTCCATCACGATAAATATGATGCTACATTTAAGTTGGTTAAATTCCAGCACTGAGAATTTTAAATATCGAATGTTACTCTCGGTGGCAAGGTGGATGGAAATGCGCTGCTCTCTGCCATGTCAACCAGAGGTCACTTTCAGGGATCTCAGAGGTAGCTCTGTAATATCCACTTCCATGGGCCACTCTCGAACACAAAGGGTTGCACTGCACTGCGATTGTTCCAGAGTGTTTATTTGTATTTTGAAACAACGCTGACAGCACAATTTGGATACAATACAGAAGAAATTACAAGAAACCGTGTGTAAGAACCATCTTCAATGTATCTTCGCTTTTTTATTCTGCAGTGGGTGCAGGAGAAGGAGGTAACGGTGGAGGATGAGCAAGTATTCCTCATGAAGCAGCAGGTGAGTTTATTATTTCAGTTTCATTTTTTTCTACTCAGCTAAAAAATGGCCAACTCTTGCAAACAGTAACGGGAATGCGCTGTTAAAATTCAAGATATGCTCTGCTCTGGTATACAGCCAATCTCCCACAGTCTACATAGTGTGTAAAGGCTAGACATAACGGAAATTGATCAACACATTCCTACGGAGGGAGCTGGTAGGAACGTTGGGTTGCTCGGTCAATGGCCAGGGTCAACGGCGGCGTGGTGTATTCCACTAAAATGGCCGACTGTGAGGGTGGGCACAAGCCGGCGTGAGTAGGTTAAACGTTGAGTTTTATAAGGGCACCACGGGGTGACCAGCCCCTCCCCACCCAGCCCCACCCCTCCCACCCCCCACCCAGCCCCTGCCCACCCAGCCCCTCCCCACCCAGCCCCTCCCCACCCATCTCGTCCCCACCCTTCCCTTTCCACCCAGCCCCACCCCTCCCATTTTTTGATGCACGACGGACGGACACAATAATCCCCTGTGGGCTGGTGTAACCAGGAGGTTCCTACCAGTATTGTTTATCTTTTCCATAAATTGATCGATAGTATATGTACAGTATGTGGTTAATAATCAGAGTATATGTAGGGCAGTTATTGAAGGTGGACCTGAATTAAAATTAGTAAGTAAAAGAGGTGGGCTCGAGCAGTAGGTAGATCTATGGATAATAATAATGATGATGAATATCTCAACCCTGGCTGCTGTTTGACCCTACATTGCATTTGTTGTACACTGTACTATTTTCATAACTAAGGTCTCCATTGAACAAGAGACCTGTTCTCAGTTTAATTAAAGGATGCATCTCTGTGGAATAAATATTCAACTCTGCTCTGTTGTTTTGTGTTCTTGCTCACCAGGCACTTCTTTCCAAGGTGCCGGCCTCACCTGCAGGCCGGCCTATGGTAAGGAGAATGCGCTTGTTTTTAAATCCACAAATCCCAATCGCCGATCAACAAATCACTTGGAATGCTCCCAATCTTGTCACAGCTCGGAAGAAACAAAAATAATCCATCTCTTTTCCTAGTATACAAATATAGTCCATTAAGTGCCGTATTCTAAGCAATGGTTCGGCCCTTATTTGGCCTATTAACACATTCAGCTCAGGCTTGAGATGCTCCGTTGCTTCCATAGATGCATGAGTGTCGCATATTCTTTGGTTTTTTCGGTAAAGTTAAGTAGATAGAAAATATAAATTAAATGAAAAATGTAATTAAACATAAAAGCAAAAAACCCACGACGTTTCGATCGCGACACAAACGGTCTTCAGCAGGCGGATAGAACATAGGGGGCAAGCCTCCAATTGCAACTGCTTACAAGGGCTTCCAAAGTTGTGAGTGGGCGGTGGACTAGGGTTGCGAGCCAGGAGCAAGGAAATCTGTGCGCCGTAAACAGCATGGGCGGAGCAGCCAATGCCACAGTGTCGGAGTAAAGCGCGAGATAGAGGAGGGGCTGAAGGCGAGGGGCGCAGTCCAAGTGTGTTAAACAATATGGGGGGGAGAGAGATGGAGGGGAGAGAGATGGGGGGGGAGAGAGATGGAGGGGAGAGAGATGGGGGGGAGAGAGATGGGGGGGGAGAGAGATGGAGGGGGGAGAGAGATGGGGGGGGGAGAGAGATGGAGGGGGGAGAGAGATGGAGGGGGGAGAGAGAGATGGCTGGGGGGAGAGAGATGGCTGGGGGGAGAGATGGGGGGGGGAGAGAGATGGGGTGGGGGTGAGAGAGATGGGGGGGGAGAGAGATGGGAGGGGAGAGAGATGGCTGGGGGGGAGAGAGATGGCTGGGGGGGAGAGAGATGGCTGGGGGGGAGAGAGATGGGGGGGGGGAGAGAGATGGGGGGGGGAGAGATGGGGGGGGGGAGAGATGGGGGGGGGAGAGAGATGGGGGGGGGGAGAGATGGGGGGGAGAGAGATGGCTGGGGGAGAGAGATGGGGGGGGGAGAGAGAGATGGGGGGGGGGGAGAGAGATGGGGGGGGGGGAGAGAGATGGGGGGGGGGAGAGAGATGGGGGGGGAGAGAGATGGGGGGGGGAGAGATGGGGGGGGAGAGATGGGGGGGGGAGAGAGATGGGGGGGAGAGAGATGGGGGGGGAGAGAGATGGGGGGGGAGAGAGATGGGGGGGGGAGAGAGATGGGGGGGGGAGAGAGATGGGGGGGATGGGGGGGGAGAGAGATGGGAGGGGAGAGAGATGGCTGGGGGGGAGAGAGATGGGGGGGAGAGAGAGATGGGGGGGTGAGAGAGATGGGGGGGTGAGAGAGATGGGGGGGGAGAGAGATGGGGGGGGGGAGAGAGATGGGGGGGGGAGAGATGGGGGGGAGAGAGATGGGGGGGGGAGAGAGATGGGGGGGTGAGAGAGATGGGGGGGGAGAGAGATGGGGGGGGAGAGAGATGGGGGGGGGGAGAGAGATGGGGGGGGGGGAGAGAGATGGGGGGGGAGAGAGTCTCAGTCGGAGCTTGGCTCGGACCCGGCTCATGGAAATCCTGAGCATGGCTGAGACCGAGCTCAGAGCCGGCTCTGGTTCAACATGGCTTTGAGCCGACTTAATTGAGCCAGAGCCAAACCTGAGACCAGCCGTGACTAAAAATATGGGCCTAAGTGTTTTAGCACTCGTTGTTGTCTCACATTCATCATTTCCACCGTGATGGATCAATGCATTGATCTGTAACTGCATTAGACTGGCCACTTTAGGAGAGAGCTCTTATTTCCAATGAACCCCTGTACCTCCATGTCTGTTTCCTGGGAGATAAATAAGATGGATTGACTGGCCTAATAAAACTAATTGGTTTGTTATTATAATAATGACAATTTAGATTATGCGCTTTATCTTTGTATCAGATCTTGGGGTGTGTTGACATATGATAGTAACAATTGCAGTGGAGTGGCGTCAACAAACATACAACGGTAATGTATTGTGTACAAATTCAGTATCCAGATATAAATAAAATGTGTTTTAGTCTGAAGAAATACATTTGTAAAAAATAATCTTACATTTTTCTGGTAAAAATGGAGCTGTGGTGCAGTGGTTATCGCACTGTACTTTGAATTCAGCAACCCGAGTTGGGTCTTGAGTTGCCCCCCCTTCGCCAATCGGCGCTAACTAGAGTGGTGAAGTATGGTCAAACAAATCCCCATAACCAACGTGGCATGGGGGAGCCCTCCTCCAGCAGCGGATTGACAAGCGGCTAGAACTGCACACGTGGCAGACAGCTGGCCAAAACTGGGGCAATATGGCGAGTGTGAATGTCCTCTCCGAGCCGGGCTGCTGCCACCAATCCGCCACTCGCTGCTCTCTCCACCGCCGCAGTCATCTCTGACCGCGTCGCTTTGGTTTTCTGCACAGGACGTCTCGGGCGGATCCCCGCGGGCCGTGAGCCGGCCGGGCCAGACCAACGTGGCGAGCGTATCGCCTCTCCAGACCCCTGGCAAGAAGCTCGACCCGGCCAACATCAAGGGTGGGAGAGAGCCCTCTGGAGGACCTTGGCACAGTGCGGCATGATGCACGCATTGTGCCGGCCACCGTCTCTTCTCAGTCATTGTTTGGCGTTTTTATTTGGTTGGGCACGTATGCACTTAGCATCGCGATTCAATTCGAGAGTACGGTTTTATTTTTTGGTTCATTTTTGCCATCGCCTTTGCGTTATTTTTTTCAGTCTTGCTGTTACAGTTACGTGCGCACCATTCATCATATCCTTTGCATTTCATTTGCGCGCATTGTAAATGATCAACACTCGCACACACAATTTTGTACGTGCATTATGAGCATTAAACATATTTTAATTGATACGTTATTGCACACTTAATGACACCGAATTAAAAAAATGACCGGCAAATTACTCAATTGGGATTATATGTGATGTAATATATTTATTTATAGAGTGCCTCTACTCAAGGTACTTGGCAGCAGTCATTGCCCCTTCTGTGCAAACATGGTAGGACCCTCCTGATAGAATCATGAGGCTTGAGGATGCTTATTAATAATAACTCATGTAAATTATTACAGGAATGCAAAGATCGTTCAGCAGATCGTCAAAAATGTAGGGCACGTGCAAATATGACGGTTTCCTTCTGCACAATAGTGAAGTATTTACTGCCATGGTCATTCCAGTAGGTATCAATACTTTGTCACGTTTTATTTTGCTTTTGGTTTTTATATGTGTATATAATATATAAAAATATGTTCAGGAGTCTGGTGGAAATGTTTGAATTTGCTTTGTCAGTTTACAATTTCAACATCGGTTTCATCGGAATACAATTTACTTTTTCACGTTGTTACATCAACTTGTGAGCCATTACATTAATTAATATGTTCACGTTTACATCGGCACTTAATGTCGCGTGACTATTTTACAATGCGATGTCTTTAGGCCGATTTGTATTGAAGGAGTGTTTTGCATTGTGTTAGAGGGAAGCTGAGTACTTGGAAAAACCCCACGCGTATGATGGGAGAACACTTACGTGTCCGCACGTTTGGCTTTACAAACCCACTTGCTAGACTGCCACCTGTAGGCATGCAACACCAACTCCATGGGTTTGTACATATGTATGTATGAACTTCTTTCGCACAGTGCTTAGCCAACTGGACTCATCGGTTTTAACCACGTGGGTTAAACCCTAGCTGCACGATATCCGTGTCCCGGGGATGTGACCCCTCGTGAAGGGTTCGGCCGCTCGTGTACCCGCAGGTGGCGCGACCAGCGAGGGGGTCCTCGCCAACTTCTTCAACAGCCTGCTCACGAAAAAGGGAGCTTCGCCAGGGGGGCCCCCCTCCCCCGGCCAGGCAGCGTCCCCCGGGAACGCCAAGCCCCTGGGTAAGGGATCTCGAGTGCCGCCGTACCACACCGGTTGCCGCTCTCTTCACTTCGTTTTTCCCCTCTCCTGTTGTATTGCGGCTCTTTGTGAGGTCAAGGTTGCTGGGAGCAAGCCCACAAAAGGCCCAAAATGCCGAACGTGGCGTGGGTGTGAGGTACGTGCCTCGGAAATGAACGCCGAGAGAGACGCACGCGCGGATTGGAGAACATGCGCAAGTTAGCGATGTGATATTGACTCTCGAGATGAGTCGGTGGGCTTGGGCAGGACGCGTCGCTAGAAGGGACGACGGTTGAGGCTAACGACGGAGCGGCAGCCAAATGAGGGAACGTGCCCGAGACGATGTCAACTCTGCAGAGAGGGAGCTTATGTGCGGGAACCTGCAAGATTGACAGATGTCAATGGCTGGCTTTGGACACCTTCATCGAGCAGTGGATTGATCATGGCTGATGATGATTCCCCTTGTTGAAATAGGCAGTGAACATTATTGAAATTCTTGCGACGCCCTATCGGGCACAACAGTGGCTGGAAGGTACATGTCCTGTAACAAGTAACCAAGTGGGATGATGCAAGGGATTTCAAATAGCCTATTCTGAGCACACCTCCTGAATTCCCAAAATTGAGTTTGCTTGGTATATCCGTAATACAAATTTTATTTAAGACCTGTTCCACAATATGCATCTAATAAGTTCTAATAAGACATGTTGCACTTTGCTGGGGTCACAAGAAGCTGCTTACTAAGCAGCAGTGATGTTAGTGAAGGCAGTGTAGATTTCATAATAATTATAGCGGTTGGTCAGTCGAAACAAAAAAGCTTAGTCTCTCGTGATTTTGTTACTTTTCGGACGGTTGTCATCTCCACGTAGGTTTTTGTATTGCACTGCTACAAACATTTCTTCTGCATTGAAATGTTCACTAACCACTAACGGCATAACACTTGTACCTCTCTTGTGCTTGTGTGCATCTTGGTGTCCGTGCACGCGTGCGCGCGCGACGGGTTCCGATCGCTCGTGCCATGCATACGTAACCATCTGTGTCCGTGCACATGCGTCTGTCTCACTCTGCGCGTGAGCCACCACCACCACAACCCCTGTCTGTCTGCCTGTGTGTCTCCATGTTCCCGTGTCTCTTTGCGTTCCCCAGTCCACAGTGCCCGTCCTCTCGCCTCCTGTCTCTCCACCTCTGTCCTCTCCCCCTGTCTCTGCGTGTCTGTCTCTCGCGACCACACCGCCCCCCACCCCATCCACCACCATCACCCCCACGCGCCCGGCGGGGAGACTGCCCCGTGCCAGCAAGGTTGGTAACTGGCCAGCTGACCGGCCAACCGGCCGTTGGGCCGAACAGATACATTTAAAAGTAAATATGAAAGGAAAGCAATAAAGAATGCAGGCCAGACACCAGATGGCTTTCCCAATCCCTGCCACAACCCGAACATTCTTGCACGAGACAATTTTTAATGCACGTATGTACATTGAACTTCTTTCGCACCGGACGTAGCCTTCCGTGCTAATCAGAGGTGTGGGGGAAGGACAACGAACTAAACACAAAAAGCAGTTCTAACGGAATGAGTTTTCAATCTAGACGATTTAAAAGTGCATAGCTCCGGTGGCTTCGTAATATCGGATGGAAGAGTGTTCCAGACGGCCGCGGAAGCGCATCTGACAGCGTGCGATGCAGTGAGTGGAGTGGACCGACGATTGTCGGCAGTGGCGTAGCTTTCCAGTGTACAGACAGTGCAACTGCACCGAGGTCCACTGGCCGAAGGGAGGTGGGGGGGGGGTCCCCAGGCTCCAGGCTACTAATAGGGGGGGAAACTTTAGCGGGACGCCGCATTTCATTCTTTGCACCAAGGGTCCATTCCAACTTTTTTCCGCCACTTGGTGTTCCCGCGGGGGGCCAAGCAGGGATTGTGGAGGCCCGTTCTGACAACAAGTCCTGAAAGTGTGCGGACAGCTCCCTAGGCATTGCGCAGGCTGACCGCTCCGTGCCGTGTCCTTGACTCGGCTCCGTGGGTACGCGTTTGTCCTTTCGCAACTCTATTAAGTCTCAACTCGCAAATGTACGTGCGGCCAGCGTGGAGGTGCAGGCAAGCTTGGCGTGAGTTTATCCCGTGTGTGTGTATACTTCTAAGTCTTAACTCCACTGATGCTGCTTAATTTAATGTATATAAGCTGAAAATGTAGGAAATTTAATTAAGGCCACATTTTTACTAACAGGTCTGTCTGAAGCTGTTCAATGCCTAGAGGTTGAGCACGTTTCATGGGTGTCGGCATGCCTGTGCTTGTATTTATTCTTTTGTCTTTGGGCTAAACTTAATTTTAAGTTCACGAAGTAGACACTAAACGATGCGATGCCACCTCATATCCACAGTTGCGAAGTGGCCCTCTAAATGTTGAAAGAGAAAGTTCAGCGTTGTAGAGTACAGGACAATATAATTGGGATTGTGATGCGCATGACCACGCGTGTTACTAGGAGGGACGTACGTAAAAGGGGGCTGTGAAGAGGGGGGGGGGGGGGGGAGTCGCTTTTGCCAGGGTTTGGACTGCAACCCCCCCCCCCCCCCCCCCGTACTTAGCATTTGCCATGTATGTCTGTATGTATTTTGAACTTCTTTCGCACCAACCGTGCCAATTGGAGGTTCGGGGAAGGACAACAAACTAAACACAAAAAGCAGTTCTAAAGAAATCTAGACGATGATTTAAAAGTGCATAGCTCCCAGTGGCTTCCTAATATCAGAGAGAAGAGCGTTCCAGACGGCCGCAGAAGTGCATCTGAAAGTGCGCGATGCGGTGACCATCTTTGTTCGATGGCTAGCCATGTTACAATACTCAGGTTGTAACTGAGCCATTCCACAAACCTCGTATGTTGACAATCCATCAGGGATTGTTATTTCGAAGGTAGTTCTCTCTCTTTTTGGAAAATATGGCTTCATATTTAAGACCGGAGGCAGGTGGATGGCTTCACTATTCTGGCAAATAGCCCGAAGATGCTGGATGTAATTACCAGCGAAACGTCGTACTACTCAAATTCTAAATGTTGTGGATTCACTCTTCAAACACACCGGTGGGCTGAAGAAGTAACTTAGCGTTTTGTTAACGTGACACATTTCTTACTGATTGGCCGTGTCGGGTGGTGGAGGGTTGCGACACATTTATAATAACGCAATCTAACCCAAAAAACTTTATCATGAATAATACTGGCCGCAAAAGGCGATGTGTTAAGCAAATATGGCTTATTTCGTGGAATAAGTCAGGAGTTTGACATAGATACGTAAGTAAACACACCGTCGCCATCATTCCAGCTTGGATTGAGACGTTACTTCATCTGAGTGTCCGATACCGTGGTCATTTGAGGATTTTCCCCTTCCTCAGCAAAGTTGTCAAACTTGTTTCCATCTCAATTACACTCCTAATTGGTTGTCATACTGTAACCAAGTCAAACGCCACCCCATGATAATTCCTAACTATTACCCACCTCTTTCAAATGTCTTCAATGTCCATCCACAATTGTGGAACTTTACTTCTTACTTTTGTGAACTTAAGATCCAAGTTGTTCCATATTGTATGTGTGCCTTTTGCATTGCATCGATGCATATACACATCCCCCTCCTGCCCTCTCTCGCGTCTGCTTCATCGTGAACGCACCGTGCATGCATCAATAACCCTATTCCCCTTATTCCTTCCTTTCAAGCTTCCTGGCTTCTGCCGAACCAGATCGGGGGCATTGGCCCAGGACGGTGCTGCACGGCGTGTCAGATCATCTGTTGGTTCAGTGGTCAAAGTCTACCGGCCTCGCTTGAGTCTGTGGGCTGACGTGCTCGCTCACACGCGTGTCTGTATGTGCCCGTGTATGCATGTGCGTGCGCGCCGTTACGTTGCCTAAACCCAGAAGGACTGCCTTGCCAAGGCCTCGGCGCTCTTCACTGCATGACTCCTAATACTCCCCTTCGATTGTCAATCACCGAGTTTCACAATGACATTCGATGCTTTTCTCTTTGCGTTAAATATGTACGCTTTGGCTTTTTGTGAGCAGGCACTTTCATGAACCATGCCACACGCTTGCTTGTGGATTTATCGTTAAGCGTACACAAATGCCTCAAAGTACCGTTGGCTGCTTCTTAGTTTGTGTGTTTCGGTTGCCCTCATGCCGCTCTAACAATTCTCGTCTGTCCGCACACTCGCAGGTCCGAAACCGGCCATGACCGATGTGCAGGCTGAATTGGACCGACTGGTCCGCAAACCCGACTCGCCCGCTGCCCAACCCACGGCCTCCGCCCAGAACGAGGTCTTGTGAGATCCTCCACCTCGTCCTCTTCCACCTCCTCCCCCTCCCCGCCCACCGCCACAGCCACCTCTGCCACCGTTCCCAACGCCACCCCAAAACCGTTGGTCTGCGGGATCTGCCCCATCGCCCTCGGCCCGGCACCAGCAGGAACACGTTTGTTCCATTACCTCCCTTCCACCAGTACATCCGAGCCATACAGGTGGTTACACGTTTGGCTATATGCCGAGCCAGAACCAGACCATGAAACTCTAGTCTCGCAACATATCTGAATCTTGCTTGGGGCCAAGTAGGGCCAGGGGCGCATGGTTAATCGTGTACATCGTTGCACATGCCGTCATTGGCTCGGTTTTGCAGACTGGCTCGGCACGGACCCGGTGCAGCTCAGTTGTGCAGTGGAATAGAGGTACTACTTTCCACACTTTAAGTCATCTGGTTTATTTATTTCTAATTTGCAATTTGTTTAGTTTGATATTCCCCACCCCCCACCCCACCCACCCACACTGATGCGACGGAGCAAGTAATAAGCGTCGACTTTTGTTGATGTTGTTGGTAAGCAGGGGCAGCGTGCGTGGTTTGCCTGTCCGGCGGTCTGGATGTGCGGGCCTACTCGTACTTTTGGGCTTTGCCGGCGCAAATGCGGTCACGTGGCCACTGCACAGAGGCGTAAAACTGCTGCGGCACGAGATGTGCTTTGTGGGCTTTGCTGCGGTCACACCGGTTTTTGCCCTGAAGAGTTTGAGTCGCGCATTTGTCAATGTTAAAAGGTGGGTTTGTATCTCTGATGGCACAGAAGGACACCTGCATGTACAGCTATTGGGGTGGTGCTCTATTTAGATTCAGCTGCATTCAAGTCACACTTTGACCAAGTGATCGATGTCAATTTGTGCATTTTCTCTTTTGCAAGGGAGACTTGGAGGTCGACACAATTTTAAAATGTAGCCTAGTTGAAGGCACTTAAATTTTAGGGGAGTTTTTTTGGCAAGGTGGGATACTTGCAAACACTTAAAAGTTACTTTCCTGTACATTTCAAATAATGTTATTTGAAAAAAAAAACCATAGCACTCACAAATGACTGTGCAAAGAGAGGCAGCCACTGATTTGGCATGGCTTTGAATTTGCAGTTTATTCCAGAATAGGATCCGTGTTCAGTTATTTAAAACTGTTTAAATTATTAAAATGCAGCGGTAGTGATTCTACGTGTGTGTTGAACACACAGGATTTGCATCCTTAGATTCTGATCGCCGCGCTTAACGTGAAGCGGGAAGCCAAGTGTTTACATGGCATTTCAGGACGAGAACGCACATTGGTAGACTGACACTGGGAATACACTCTGGCATCATTTAGCGACTCTCAATGAGGGCTGAAAAGAGTGAGAAAAAATGCTTTCGACTTGGCACGACAGCGTCCTGAAATATGTTCTTAGTAGGAGTGCAGTAAATCGGTGTCGTTAATTTCCGAACCACTTTTAGCCAGTTTGCCATTTTCGATTGCCGGACTGTGGCGTTCTGGGGTTTGGGATTTACTTTGGCAGGAGGCAGAGTGGTCTAAGGAGTCCTATTAAAAGCCGGTGGGCCAAACTTGACTTATCAAAAAGACTATTTAAAACTTGAGAACGTTCGTAAAACTACATCGTATGCAATTAGCGCTATGAGTTTAGAAGATGTAATTTGTATTGTTTTCACGTAATTATCAATGACAGATTTCAAAGTAGAGCGGTGTATAAAACTGTTTCTTGTAAATATTGTCGAGGCGGCATTGACAAAATCAAACTTAAGTAAATGCTTCATTGGCTTTTTGTAGCCTAATCTTTGAAGATGAAGCTGCATGATGATTTAAAAGTTAACAACGGTTACAATAATTTGTTCCACCACGAGCCACTTTTTTAACATTCAAGTACCTCCGTAATGTTCAGCCGGCAGTGGCCTTGTAAATAGCCACACAGACGTTATTACTTGAATTCATGACAAAAAATTACATACATCTCATGCATAGCTGGGTTTGGAGACATTGCTGCACAATATCCAAAAGCAAATGACAACTTGAGCTGCATAGGAAATGATGGAAACGTCACGTGATTTAGAAGGTGTGCTTGGGTTGGACGCAGAACGAAGGGCAGGTTTCAACGCCAGATGGGGGAGGGGGGTCCTGTCCTGAATCTGGCCGGCAGCAAGGGAAGTGTGGCCGATCAGTCTTCCTGTCGCTCTGTTTTGGCTAAGGTGAATGACCTCATCGGCAAATCACGTCATCACCGTTGTGCTGACGTGCAGTTGTTGTGGAAATGCGGGTTGCGTTGGCTTGTGCAAAGAAGGGTGTGGAAGGTGTGAAAATCTCATAGTGGGATGAGTTGGCCTGCAGATTATGCAGATGATAGCACGTACATTTTAACGGCAGCAGACCATTTGATGCCAAAGCGACAGTGAGTTGTATGGGTGGACGTGTAACGTTACGGGAGAGGAGACCGTCACTCCGCAGCGACAGTAAGCTGTCATTACGAGTCTCACTGCTTAAAAACCAAACCTTAAACGGCACATCTGCGCGTTGTCCAAATTTGTCGCCGTGACTCGCCGTACGTCTAATTTTGAAGCTGGGATAGGCAGCCAAGCACTGTGTTGTGCAGCAACCTCCACACAACCCGTGCTCTCGCCAGGGTGTTGCATTCGATAATGAAATTACCCCATTAGTTGTTGCCACGGTGGCGAGATGTTAACTACATCACCTGGTATACAGTAGGTCGTGGGTTCGATCCCGACCCTGACGCCTGTATATTTGGAGTTTGCGTGTTTTCCCCGTGGCCGCGTGGATTTTTCTCCGGGTCCTCCAGTTTTTCCCTCCACATTTAGAAACGCGCGCTTAGAGTATTTGGCTGCTATAAATTTCCACACGATGAGCCACTTTTTGTCGAGCTATCATGTGGTTAGGTCGCTTCTGAAAAAGAGCTACGTTAGCTCAGGTGAGCCTTACCTGGTAAAATAGAAATAGTTTAGATTAGTTGGACAAGCCTGCTCAGTGTCACCACTGATAGCTGAAATGGTAACGACTTTTACTATACGGTTCAGCATGTTTGGGTGCTGTCCCACCTTGCTTGACAAACTACTCCTAAATGCAGCAGGTTTCTTGAACATGTGCATCTCCCTTGCAAAAGAGATCTTCATTGCAAACTCGCCAGGTTGCTCAACGGTACATCTGTTGATGTATTTCATGGACTCTTCCACTCTCAAACCCATTCTCCTACATCGGAGTTGTCAGGATTTGCCGCAGACACCAGCTCAAATTGTCACCTCGACCCTTACAACCAGCTGTCTGATATTTTTTTTTACTTAATTCATTTTGCGCGAAGGTATGAAAGAGTTCGGTCAAGAAGTGGGAGGCTAAAAGTCCATTGTGCAGTTTTGATAATTTACACAAAATCATGGTGTGCTTTAACCAGCTGCTGAAGGGTGGGGGGGGGTGTGTAGTCTTTTTTTTTGGCCAAACCTCTTTTGTTCTTATTAGAAGTGCCCAGAGCTTGCATAGTGCGGGCTTCTAAATGATCCTGTGCGTCCGCCATGTGCTCTGTGACCATGTTGAGTTATAAACAGCAATCGGTCAGGCATTGGATAAATATTTTGTTTTATTTTGGGCCAGAGGGGGGCAGGGGTGGGCGGAGGTGGCGAGTGGGCGAGTGAAAGTTTCAGCTCAACACTTCGAAAGAAAATTGCCTTAAAACATAAACAAGACATAATGAGGAAGACCAAAAACGACTTAACTTCACAGAGCTTCGAGCCCTCGGCGAAATTGAATCGTTGGACTGGCCGCTGCGTCACATGGGACACGTGTGACGCACGACTCGCTCAACACAGCTGACGGATCTCGGTCCATGGGCCCAGACCAAATATTTCACTTGTTGGAACTACCAGAGGATGGGTCACACTTGCGTTATACCAACTTCTTTAAATCACCAATAAAAAGTGAACGACAACCTTCTATAATAAGCATGTCATCATATATTCCACTTATGTTGGCCACGTAGCAGAGTACTGCGCTTCAGCCTGGTCCAGTAATTTACACTCAAAACTAGAACGCTGCAACCGACACTTTACCCACATGGCACGTGACCTGCCGATCGACTAACCGTTGTGGTGCACTCGTTTATACTGCTGGGTGGACAGACGTGCGGGGGGGGAGGGATTTAGGAAACTCTCCCCATTGTTTTCACCGCCGTACCGGGAGTTCGAAACGAACCGGCGACCTGTGAACCGCAAGTCCCAGTGCGCTCAACGACTGGACAAGACCAGACTCGTGATCCGTCCAGGCCGGAGCAAACTTCCGCCAGCGTGTCGCGATAAAACCCCATTCTGTGACGTGTCTGTCGTTGAGCCTCTGTAAAATGTCACCGCCGTAGAGAAGGAATTCTAATAGAGAACCCAACCCCCCACCACGGCCATGGTGGCCACGGCGGCGAGATGTTAACCACCTCACCTGGTATGCAGGAGATCGTGGGTTCGATCCCGACGCTTGTATATTTGGAGTTTGCATGGTCTCCTCGTGGTCGCGTGGATTTTTCTCCGGGTCCTCTGGTTTTTCCCTCCTACACATTTCGCATTGACACGCGTTTAGAGTATTTGGCTGCGATAAATGTCCTTCCGATAAGCCACTAAGTTGAGCTATCATTTGTGGTAGCCAGGTCGCTTCTGATAAAGGAGCTGTATAGCTCAGTGGGCCTTACCTGGTCGCAAATAGTTTCGTTCTGATGGGCTGTGCGGCCGAATCTCGGTGAGCGATGCATATGCACGTGGGAAGACTGCCGTGCAAAGCGCTCGCGCTGTGGAGAGTCGAGGGGACCCGTACCGCGACGCGGGGTGGGGATGTCGCGGGGTAGCAAGGCACCCGCGCGGCGCGGAGGACAAAAATGAGTTTTGTTTATCGCCCATGCAGGCTTGGGACCGTCCACTTTGTAAAAACCAAGCGTGTGATCACCTCCAGTCGTTGCACCTTTTTCTAAAAAACGAAACGTTATCGATTCACTCCGACTCGCCCAGATTCGGGTGCGGTTAATTGTGCCGGGTTTGGTGTAGGGCCCCAGACGACTTGACGTGTATGTATCCTCTAAGGAACGGTGACATTTGATGGGCTTCAACTATGGGACTAAATTATGTTAATGGTGGCATTAAAAGCAAGCTGTTTAGTATACAGTTAAGTGCACTAGCTTTGTTGAGCCATAGACTAAAGTTAATTTTGGCTTTAGCCTCTGGCTGCATGTAGCTTAGCATACTGCTAGTGATTAGGATGCATATAATGATACACGTGCTGTTCGAAAACAAGATACACATGAGCATGTCATTCTTAATTTAATTTTCAAAGTTTTGTTGTTCATGGTTTTAGAAGTTGGGTTTTCTTTGAATGTCGATCGCCATTTTAAGCTAATTGTACCCAGGGGCAGATTTCTGAAACGTTTTCATTTGAAAGCACATCATGAAAAGAATGCATTTTGTATTCATTTTGTACATAATTGCTTCACGTTTTTTTTTACTTGTAATTTTGAAAATGTCTGCTAAAGTATTCTCCAGCGTGTAACACAGTGTGTTAACGAAAACCAAGTTTTTATACAATTTTGTTAGGTAAATCACAAGCAAAATAACCCGTTCTCATCAACGGATTAAGGTTGAGCGGAGGAGCGAGTTCGGGGCTTAATGCGTCTAATTAACGACAAATGACGATCGCTCGTAGCACTACAAATCATGTACAGCAGCCTGCTTGTTAATAACAATAATATTACAGGAACCATTGTATTCCTCCACTGGTATAACGGTAAACTGCAAACTTATTTGAAAGAAGAAAACCATTTATTGCTTTATTCAGGAGTGTTATAAGCATGTACTCCCATAGGAAAATGAACGCATATTAAGAGTGATGCACACGCGAGGTGGCTGTGTGTGGACGAATAACATAGCGCCGGTGTTGATGAAACCTCCAGGAGTAATTGGCCGAGCCTGCTGTTGCATTGCTTTACAAGGTTGTCTGGAAATCCATTCGGTTGAACAATCCACCAGCCCCCCCCCCCCCCCCCCCAGTCTATTTCACATTGAAAGTTGTCAGCATTGCATGCAGGGTACTATCATTTTTATTTTCTAATGTTTAAAAACGTCTTCATTACGTGTTTTTTTTTTTTCCCTCATTGTTTTGTTATTTTATTTAACTGAGAATTGTAACGCGCCTAATCACTGTACTCATTACCACTCTCGTAGATTCGGCCCTGCATGTTGGAGGCAAGCCTGCCTATTTTGCACCTTTGCCATGTACCCCGACTGTCAGATTCAACTACAAGGGAACGTTTACATAACTCGGGATGACTTGACGTTCAATCGAGTACAATCCGTGGACCCAGATGTTTGAGCTGTCGCTACCAAGGCGACGATTTCTTTCTCGAACTAATCAATGATGGTGAATTATACCTCAGCCTTGTCAAACGAGCAGTTTATCACGCAATTCACGATTTATTGGCCGTATAAAAGACATGCTAGCGCTTAGGTTTCACCTGCTTGGGCCTTGGCAATTTTGTTTGGTGTTGCCTGGCCCATTAACACCTTCAGCCTGAGTGCTAAATCTGGACGTATGATTCGCCACTTCTGAATTAACTGAACCAATCAATTCAATGCCTAGGATCGTGTTAAGTACGTCCTGTCATGATGTCTTGGGTGAGCACATTAACCTGTCTAACAAACGTGACGGCGTTCTTATTCACCAATCTTAAGATATTTGCTGTTGCACATGTATACATGCCCTGCGCTGTTGTCCTTTAAAGGTCCAATATTGGCTGAGGTCATTGAAATAAACTCCCATCTGCACTGCATGGACGTCGGGGTCAACACCAACATTGGTGTGCTTCTACGGTGGCTAGGAGATGTTAACTAGCTCACCTGGTATACAGGAGGTCATGGGTTCAATCCTGACCCCAACACCTGTATATTTGGAGTTTTACATATTTCTCCCCGTGGTCGTGTGCATTTTTTTCTGGGCCCTCTGGTTTTTCCCTCCTACATTTAGAAACGTGCATTGAGAGTATTTGTCTGCGATACATTTCCACGTGACAAACCACTTCGTTGAGATATCATTTGTGGCCAAGTCGCTTCTGAAAAAGAGCTGTATAGCTCAGTGGACCTAACCTGGTAAAAATAAAGAGTTCATTGGTGACTTAACATCAGCCCTGTGACCTCAAATCGCGCAACTGTGATTGTTAACGTCAGCCCCTTCCGACTCCCAAAAGCAAGCCACTCCAGCAGAGAGTTTTCATTACTCCAGTATGAAATTATCGCCTTTGCCAGCGCCGTGGAGAACTGAGGCCTGAGGCGAGATCTTGTCAGGGGATTTAGAGGCGTCGGTGTGAGTTGCACGAATCAAAACGCTCGAATGGATTTGACGACTTCCTCAATGCAGGAGTCCGATATGAACCAGGTTTCCAGCCAAACATTGTTTTGCATCTAATTATTAAGGAGCCGTTGCTTTTTATTAGTCAATAATTCACTCATTTGCAGAATGGTGTGTGTGCTTAGCGGTATTCCACTATTAGCGCTTGCAACGTGTTTTGGTGGAAGCCTGGTTGTAGAAGTTCCTTGGCACAAAGCAACGAGTTTGCAGAGCATAACGTTGTAATGTCTAAATTACAGTAATGTCATTTAAATAATGTATTTGAACACAAAACTAAAATAAACTGGAATTGGTTTTAAAGCTGCCTTTGAGTTTCTTTCAAAACTGTCATTGTGCGTGCCCTTTGCCCGAGTTGCTTTTTTGAGGTTTCATCATTAGAAGTTGATGCCACGTAGGCCACGTGATCGTTCTCTCTACCCGGCGATGTCACCATTCATCGCCCCCAGCTGCCCAATTGCCTTGCATCAGGCTTAATTTGACTGAAATGCAAATGAATATGATGTAAGAATCTTGATTTAAAGCTTTCGTGACTGCAGGAATACATACTCTTTGGTTCTTTCGGTAAAGTCACGTAGGTATAAAATAAAATAAATCACGACGTTTCGGGCGCAACACAAGCATCCATCATCAGGTGGGAAAGCACGGTCTGCACTTGGATGCTTGTGTTAAGCTCGAAACGTCGTGATTTATTTTATTTTATACCTACGTGGCTTTACCGAAAGAACCAAAGAGTATGATGTAAGAATGTTTTTTTGAATCAAATGAAAAATCTGGAATGGTGCCAAATTACTGAGAAATTGAACCGCTTTAGGTTGATATGGCATGCTGATGGCACCGTCTTGATATGCACAACACCGATGCATGCGGTTGTTGAGTTTGATTTTTGCAGTGGCCGATTAGAAGGGAAATGTTCATTTAATGTAACGAGGTGCCAGTCACGTTCGCGAGTGATGTTGATATCGACCTGTGACGGTAAACACAAGGTGAGGGGCAGAGGAGAATGAGCGACCTCCTCCCACTAAGAAAAATAGGAGCTTACGTTTGTGGAGGTGATCTGAGTATGGGGATAGGTAGGAGAGTACATGGAAGGGAGTAGAGTGAGATAAGATGAGTGTGTGGAGGGGGGTAGAGTGAGATGGGTGTGTGGAGGGGAGTGGAGTGAGATGGGTGCGTGGAGGGGAGTGGAGTGAGATGAGTGTGTGGAGGGGAGTAGAGTGAGATGAGTGTGTGGAGGGGAGTGGAGTGAGATGAGTGTGTGGAGGGGAGTCGAGTGAGATGAGTGTGTGGAGGGGAGTGGAGTGAGATGGGTGTGTGGAGGGGAGTGGAGTGAGATGAGAGTGTGGAGGGGAGTGGAGTGAGATGAGTGTGTGGAGGGGAGTGGAGTGAGATGAGTGCGTGGAGGGGGGTAGAGTGAGATGAGTGTGTGGAGGGGAGTGGAGTGAGATGAGTGCGTGGAGGGGAGTGGCGTGAGATGAGTGTGTGGAGGGGGGTGAGAGTGAGATGAGTGTGTGGAGGGGAGTGGAGTGAGATGAGTGTGTGGAGGGGAGTGGAGTGAGATGAGCGCGTGGAGGGGAGTGGCGTGAGATGAGTGTGTGGAGGGGGTGGAGTGAGATGAGTGCGTGGAGGGGGGTAGAGTGAGATGAGTGTGTGGAGGGGGGTAGAGTGAGATGAGTGTGTGGAGGGGAGTGGAGTGAGATGAGTGCGTGGAGGGGAGTAGAGTGAGATGAGTGTGTGGAGGGGGTAGAGTGAGATGAGTGTGTGGAGGGGAGTGGAGTGAGATGAGTGCGTGGAGGGGAGTGGAGTGAGATGGGTGCGTGGAGGGGGGTAGAGTGAGATGAGTGTGTGGAGGGGAGTGGAGTGAGATGAGTGTGTGGAGGGGAGTGGAGTGAGATGAGTGCGTGGAGGGGAGTGGAGTGAGATGAGTGCGTGGAGGGGAGTGGAGTGAGATGGGTGCGTGGAGGGGGGTAGAGTGAGATGAGTGTGTGGAGGGGGTGGAGTGAGATGAGTGTGTAGAGGGGAGTGGAGTGAGATGAGTGCGTGGAGGGGGGTAGAGTGAGATGAGTGTGTGGAGGGGGGTGGAGTGAGATGAGTGGGTGGAGGGGAGTGGAGTGAGATGAGTGTGTGGAGGGGAGTGGAGTGAGATGAGTGTGTGGAGGGGAGTGGAGTGAGATGAGTGTGTGGAGGGGGGTAGAGTGAGATGAGTGGGTGGAGGGGGGTGGAGTGAGATGAGTGTGTGGAGGGGAGTAGAGTGAGATGAGTGTGTGGAGGGGGGTGGAGTGAGATGAGTGGGTGGAGGGGAGTGGAGTGAGATGAGTGTGTGGAGGGGGAGTGGAGTGAGATGAGTGTGTGGAGGTGAGTAGAGTGAGATGGGTGCGTGGAGGTGAGTAGAGTGAGATGGGTGCGTGGAGGGGGGTAGAGTGAGATGAGTGTGTGGAGGGGGTGGAGTGAGATGAGTGTGGGGAGGGGAGTGGAGTGAGATGAGTGCGTGGAGGGGGGTAGAGTGAGATGAGGGTGTGGAGGGGGGTGGAGTGAGATGAGTGGGTGGGAGGGGAGTGGAGTGAGATGAGTGTGTGGAGGGGAGTGGAGTGAGATGAGTGTGTGGAGGGGAGTGGAGTGAGATGAGAGTGTGGAGGGGAGTAGAGTGAGATGGGTGCGTGGAGGGGAGTAGAGTGAGATGAGTGTGTGGAGGGGAGTGGAGTGAGATGAGTGTGTGGAGGGGAGTGGAGTGAGATGAGAGTGTGGAGGGGAGTGGAGTGAGATGGGAGTGTGGAGGGGAGTGGAGCGAGATGAGTGTGTGGAGGGGGAGTGGAGTGAGATGAGTGTGTGGAGGGGAGTGGAGTGAGATGAGTGTGTGGAGGGGAGTGGAGTGAGATGAGAGTGTGGAGGGGAGTGGAGTGAGATGAGTGTGTGGAGGGGAGTGGAGTGAGATGAGTGTGTGGAGGGGAGTGGAGTGAGATGAGTGTGTGGAGGGGAGTAGAGTGAGATGAGAGTGTGGAGGGGAGTAGAGTGAGATGAGAGTGTGGAGGGGAGTGGAGTGAGATGAGTGTGTGGAGGGGAGTGGAGTGAGATGAGTGTGTGGAGGGGAGTGGAGTGAGATGAGAGTGTGGAGGGGGGTAGAGTGAGATGAGTGTGTGGAGGGGGGGTAGAGTGAGATGAGAGTGTGGAGGGGAGTAGTGAGATGGGTGCGTGGAGGGGAGTAAAGTGAGATGAGTGTGTGGAGGGGAGTGGAGTGAGATGAGTGTGTGGAGGGGAGTGGAGTGAGATGAGTGTGTGGAGGGGAGTGGAGTGAGATGAGTGTGTGGAGGGGAGTGGAGTGAGATGAGAGTGTGGAGGGGAGTGGAGTGAGATGGGAGTGTGGAGGGGAGTGGAGTGAGATGGGTCCGTGGAGGGGAGTGGAGTGAGATGGGTCCGTGGAGGGGAGTGGAGTGAGATGAGTGTGTGGAGGGGAGTGGAGTGAGATGAGTGCGTGGAGGGGAGTGGAGTGAGATGAGAGTGTGGAGGGGAGTGGAGTGAGATGGGTGCGTGGAGGGGGGTAGAGTGAGATGAGAGTGTGGAGGGGGGTAGAGTGAGATGAGTGTGTGGAGGGGGGTAGAGTGAGATGAGTGTGTGGAGGGGAGTGGAGTGAGATGAGTGCGTGGAGGGGAGTGGAGTGAGATGAGTGTGGAGGGGAGTGGAGTGAGATGGGTGTGTGGAGGGGAGTGGAGTGAGATGAGTGTGTGGAGGGGAGTGGAGTGAGATGAGTGTGTGGAGGGGAGTGGAGTGAGATGAGTGCGTGGAGGGGAGTGGAGTGAGATGAGTGTGTGGAGGGGAGTGGAGTGAGATGAGTGTGTGGAGGGGAGTAGAGTGAGATGAGAGTGTGGAGGGGAGTGGAGTGAGATGAGAGTGTGGAGGGGAGTAGAGTGAGATGAGTGTGGAGGGGAGTGGAGTGAGATGGGTGTGTGGAGGGGGGTGGAGTGAGATGAGTGTGTGGAGGGGAGTGGAGTGAGATGAGAGTGTGGAGGGGAGTGGAGTGAGATGGGTGCGTGGAGGGGAGTGGAGTGAGATGAGTGCGTGGAGGGGAGTGGAGTGAGATGAGTGTGTGGAGGGGAGTGGAGTGAGATGAGAGTGTGGAGGGGAGTGGAGTGAGATGAGAGTGTGGAGGGGAGTGGAGTGAGATGAGAGTGTGGAGGGGAGTGGAGTGAGATGAGTGTGTGGAGGGGAGTGGAGTGAGATGAGAGTGTGGAGGGGAGTGGAGTGAGATGAGTGTGTGGAGGGGAGTGGAGTGAGATGAGAGTGTGGAGGGGAGTGGAGTGAGATGAGTGTGTGGAGGGGGGTAGAGTGAGATGAGAGTGTGGAGGGGAGTGGAGTGAGATGAGTGCGTGGAGGGGAGTGGAGTGAGATGAGTGCGTGGAGGGGAGTGGAGTGAGATGGGTGCGTGGAGGGGGGTAGAGTGAGATGAGTGTGTGGAGGGGGTGGAGTGAGATGAGTGTGTAGAGGGGAGTGGAGTGAGATGAGTGCGTGGAGGGGGGTAGAGTGAGATGAGTGTGTGGAGGGGGGGTGGAGTGAGATGAGTGGGTGGAGGGGAGTGGAGTGAGATGAGTGTGTGGAGGGGAGTGGAGTGAGATGAGTGTGTGGAGGGGAGTGGAGTGAGATGAGTGTGTGGAGGGGGGTAGAGTGAGATGAGTGGGTGGAGGGGGGTGGAGTGAGATGAGTGTGTGGAGGGGAGTAGAGTGAGATGAGTGTGTGGAGGGGGGTGGAGTGAGATGAGTGGGTGGAGGGGAGTGGAGTGAGATGAGTGTGTGGAGGGGAGTGGAGTGAGATGAGTGTGTGAGGTGAGTAGAGTGAGATGGGTGCGTGGAGGTGAGTAGAGTGAGATGGGTGCGTGGAGGGGGGTAGAGTGAGATGAGTGTGTGGAGGGGGGTAGAGTGAGATGAGTGTGTGGAGGGGGTGGAGTGAGATGAGTGTGTGGAGGGGAGTGGAGTGAGATGAGTGCGTGGAGGGGGGTAGAGTGAGATGAGTGTGTGGAGGGGGGTGGAGTGAGATGAGTGGGTGGAGGGGAGTGGAGTGAGATGAGTGTGTGGAGGGGAGTGGAGTGAGATGAGTGTGTGGAGGGGAGTGGAGTGAGATGAGAGTGTGGAGGGGAGTAGAGTGAGATGGGTGCGTGGAGGGGAGTAGAGTGAGATGAGTGTGTGGAGGGGAGTGGAGTGAGATGAGTGTGTGGAGGGGAGTGGAGTGAGATGAGAGTGTGGAGGGGAGTGGAGTGAGATGGGAGTGTGGAGGGGAGTGGAGTGAGATGAGTGTGTGGAGGGGAGTGGAGTGAG